GGGCCTTGTGGAAGGAAGAAAGGTCACAGAGTCTGCACCCTCAAAAAGGCTTGAAGGCATGGTCATTGGGAGCAGGCTCTTGCAATGGCAAGCTGTTATAAAGCAAGGCCACCCCAGGTTCTCTGTGCCTTCTGCAGGCAGCCACTGCCCTCTCTTTCCACCCACCAGGCTATGTCACAGCCAGAAGGCCCTCACAGAGGCCAGCCAGATGGATTTAGCCTCTACAGCTGAGAGCTAACAAGGCCTCTTTTTTTAATTAATTAATTTATTTAATTAATATTTTATTTATTTATCTGAGAGGTAGAGTTACAGAGAGAGAAAGAGAGAGAGGTCTTCCATCCACTGGCTCACTCCTCATGGCCGCAATGGCCAGAGATGGGCCAATAGGAAGCCAGGAGCCAGGAGCTTCTTCCAAGTCTCCCATGTGGATGCAGGGGCCTAGGCACCTGGGCCATCTTCCACTGCTTTCCCAGGCACGTTAGCAGAGATCTGGATCGGAAGTGGAGCAGCTGGATGTGAACCGGCATCTGTATGGGATGCTGGTGCCACAGGCAGGGGCTTAACCTAACTACACCACAGCACTGCCCCACTAACTAGGCCTCTATTTGACAAGGTGTCCAGCCTTGGGTGTTCTGTTATTGCAACACAAACCACACTAAGGCAGGGGCCTCCTGCACGCCCCGGATTATACAACTTTTTCTCCTCTGACTCATGAGGCTCCGCCTCAACTTCCCCTTGAGATGGATGGTGCCTGCTCCACTCTACAGCTGGGGAAACTGAGGCTACGAACTCCGTGTGCCAGAAGGACCACACAGGCCTGAAACTGCACAACCTTGGGTTGAGTCCGAGTCACTGGGTGAGCCGACAAGGACCAACAGCTTGGGTTTCACCTCCAGAACACGTGGAGACTGGACAAAGGCCCTTTCCAGGGCTAAGTAAGCAGGTTCTAGATTGTGCTCCTCATCCCCAGGGGTCTCTAAGGAGAGGAAGTGCAAAGTCTTAGGATCGAGTCAGAAAGCCAAGTTTGCCTGTTTAATGCAGAGTAGACAAGCAAGGAGCCCGAGGCCGCACGAGCCGCCTGCCACCGAAGGCAAGACAGTGCAGAGGTTTAAGCAGAGGAAAGACACTGTGGGAGTTCAGGGCTCTCTTCCTGGGAGGCAGGGGTCATCTGGGAAGGCCTGAAGGACGGCCACAAAGACAGCACGAGCAGAAGCACAGAGTAGCGCAGGCTTCACCGGAACCCAGCCTCTGAGGAACCAGGCTCAGAAACGAAAGGCCGATGACAGGACGGGTCCTGGGAATCCAGTGCCAGCACCGCCCACCCCTCACATCCTCAGAGGGGAAGGCGGAGGCTGACCCTGCACCTGCCTCTGCAGAGAAGAAAAGCCATTCCCGTACACAGGGCAGGCTGCTGCAAGGGCTCTGGGCCCCGTGATGCATGAGCACCTGCAGGCGTCTGGGTCCCGCTGTGAACACCCCTCCTGCCACACGGCGACGGGCACGGGTGGATGCGAAGCCTGCCAGCCGAGCCAGCAGAGGCTCAGGGGAAAACCTTTCTCGATGGAGTCACTCGCTTGGCCTTCTGGGTACCCAGGGGCTGAAGATGATCACCTGGGGGTGAGGACAAGCCGGCAAGGCAACAGGCGCTTGGCTCTCACGGCAGAAACAGTGGATGCTGTCTCCGGTCTAACCGCAGGAGACATCTGTGGCAGACATGTCGCCTGGCTCCCCTTCAGTTTCTGAGTCCCTGAACATTCTAACTGCAAGGGCCCCTGCAGAACAGGTCCAAGGACCCCATTTTCCAGAGGAGATAACTGAGGCCATGGGAGAAAAGGTGGCCTAACTAAGGTCCACCACAGCAGGGAGCGGCAGGGCCAGGAACAGCGTCCAGGCCCACAGATACTCTGAAGCCAAAGCTAGAACAGACAGGGGTTCAGGGAAGAGGAGGCCAATGACGGTAGGTTCGTGGCGCCAGGACAGAGAGGAGAGCTCTGAATTTGGCACTCGGGAAGCAACTGCAAAGGGCACTGCCAATGCAGGTCCAGAGAGCTGATCCACGAGAAGCAGGCACAGTGCATTATCCTACGACAAAGGACGGACGGACAGAAAGAGAAACTTTGAGCAGAAGGGGAAGAAAACCCACGTTTTTTTAATTTTTTTTTTTTATTTGACAGGTAGAGTTATAAACAGTGAGAGAGAGAGAAAGAGAGAAAGGTCTTCCTTCTGTTGGTTCACTCCCCAAATGGCTGCCACGGCCGGCGCTGCGCCGATCCAAAGCCCGGAGCCAGGAGCTTCTTCCTGGTCTCCCATGCGGGTGCAGGGCCCAAGCACTTGGGCCATCCTCCACTGCCCTCCCGGGCTACAGCAGAGAGCTGGACTGGAAGAGGAGCAATCGGGACTAGAACCCGGCACCCATATGGGATGCCAGCACCGCAGGCAGAGGATTAACCAAGTGAGCCACGACGCCGGCCCTGAAAACCCAAGTTTTAGCCCAGTGACCTGTTCTTCTTGGCAGGGGAGGCCCACTGCTGGAGCAAAGTCTTGGGGACTGGACTAGAAGGCCACGGCTGAGGTTCAGAAAGGGAACTGAGGGGCTCCCAGGCTGGTAGCACAGCTCAGGCACTCGGACTCTGCTGGCCCCGCGACCTGTGTTGGTGTCAGTGGCATAGCGGTGGCCCTCCACCTGGCAGCCTGGGAGAAGCTGGAGAGGAAACAGGCTGGGGGACAGGCACAGGGGCAGGTGAACCAAAGGCTGAGAGAGGAGGAGACACAGGTGCAGGGAGCAGGGATTGGGTGGAAGCAGGGACTGAGGCAGGAGGGGACCGTTCAGGGCCAAGGCCAAGGGGAGAGGGGCAGGAAAGACTTGGCTCCGGGAAGTTAGCACGGACAGGGGCAGGCCAGAATTCTGGGGCTGGGAGTGATGAGTGGCGAGACTCAAGGGAATCTGTGTGGGCTATGCTCAGTGAAGCTGAACTGAGAGCCAGCAGCGCCCAGACAGAGACCCAAGACCTGAGGCTGCCCAGACGAAGAGGAAAGGTGAGACCAGAGGCCTGTAGAGAGGTAAAGCTCACGGGCGAGGCCAGTGGCAGGGCACCAGGAAGCTCAACTTCAGAGGAGATAGGACTGGGCAGGGCGGCAGGGCTGCAAACACTGCTGGACCCTCCCTCAGGACTGGGCTGGGGCGTGGGAGCTGGAGTGAGTGTGCAGCTGAGAAATGGAGAAGGAACTGGGACCCTCTCAGTTCAAGGAGGTATGGTGCAGGGTGCAGGTATAGGAATTTGCTGTGGGCATTCGGAAGTTCCCTAAGTGCAGAGAAGTCGAGGGGACACATCTGCACTGACCCCTGGTGGCAGGGTTCACTTATATTTGCACCCAGCCCCTCACTCACATTCTTCAGCACCCACTTCCCAGGCACCTGGCTTGAGCATCTTCACCTTCCGATGAGCCCGTGTGGTCTCCCGGGGGAAAGAGCTCCAGGTCTCTGGTGCAACCATCTCCTCATCGGGAACCAGCCTCCAACACCCTGTCTCTCGCAGCACCGCCCCTTGCTCTGTTGTCCCTACCTGTCACGAGCACCCATGTGTGTTCCCTGTGTATCCACAAGGCTTAGGACAGCGAGCAGTGCACCTTGGGTACTCATTCAACTTTTTTTTATTTTATTTTATTTTATTTTATTTTATTTATTTATTTATTTATTTTTGACAGGTAGAGTGGACAGTGAGAGAGAGACAGAGAGAAAGGTCTTCCTTTTGCCGTTGGTTCACCCTCTAATGGCCGCTGCGGCCGGCCCACCTGGCTGAAGCCAGGAGCCAGGTGCTTCTCTTGGTCTCCCATGTGGGTGCAGGGCCCAAGAACCTGGGCCACAGCAGAGAGCTGGACTGGAAGAGGAGCAACTGGGACAGAATCCGGTGCCCCGACCGGGACTAGAACCTGGTGTGCCGGTGCCACAGGCGGAGTATTAGCCTAGTGAGCCACGGAGCCGGCCACTCAGTCAATTTTTAAATGGTTGAATACATTATCTTTTTTTTTTTTTTTTACAGGCAGAGTGGACAGTGAGAGAGAGAGAGACAGAGAGAAAGGTCTTCCTTTTGCCGTTGGTTCACCCTGCAATGGCCGCCATGGCCGGCTCGCTGCGGCCAGCGCACCACGCTGATCTGAAGGCAGGAGCCAGGTGCTTCTCCTGGTCTCCCATGGGGTGCAGGGCCAAACACTTGGGCCATCCTCCACTGCACTCCCTGGCCACAGCAGAGAGCTGGCCTGGAAGGGGGCAACCGGGACAGAATCCGGCGCCCCGACCGGGACTAGAACCCAGTGTGCCGGCGCTGCAAGTCGGAGGATTAGCCTAGTGAGCCACGGCTCCGTCTTTGAATACATTATTTTTAAAATCCAAAGCTAGATTTTGTTGGACAGATGGCTATCAATTTATTGTTTTTTTAAAGAATGCTCTGAGCTTTGTGGAGTTCACTGATTCTGCCATCTCCACGGTGAACAGTTCCATCTCAAGCAAAGCAAATGAAGTCTTTGTTGACCTAACACAACCTCCTGGAGCCTGCAAGATGGTTCTCGTGCAATGCCAAGACCTGCTCCAACCGTCCCCTGCCACGTATCCCACTGAGCCTGGCTGGAATCCAATGGCATTCACAGCACCCACTCTTTAACCAGCCAGAATCTGCAGAAGGTGGTGGTGCAGCCTCTTCTGCTGGCTAAAAATGAAAGCCAGCACCATTAAGAGAGTTTCCCTCTTTCTCCCTCCTCTAGAAATGTGCCCGCAATGCAACCTTCTGCTGGGCAGGCCCCTAGCACAGCCCATGCCCGTCCTCTGCCAACTGCTGGCCATCGCCAGGGCAGGAGGACCCAACAGGCAGCACCATGCCAATGCTCATTACTGCCACAGTATCACAGTCTTACTCCTATTTTTCTCTACCAATTTCTAGCAAGTGTGGTTCTGCAATTAGCATGAAAAGCCAATTTGTGCTGAAATGAATCAAGGCAATACATACCGCCACCTGGGCAGAGTCGAGGAACTGGAGGCCAAAATAATCTGTTTCCACGAGGTCCAAATGGTACACGATCTGATCGAACAGATCCTGGCCCTTGGCATGTTTCTGGAAGACAAGTGGGTGGACGGAAACTTAGGAGGAGACACCTGGGCAAAACACCTCTCTGTAGCCTGCACACACATAAACAAATATTTTTAAATTTAGCTTTATTGTACATGCAATACAAACCTGTGACTGAGGAAATTCAAATGCCATTTAAGAATACAGACAATACAAAGTTTAAAACCTGGATAACTGCTCTTAACCCCTGCTAGTCCCTCCTCGTGAAAAGAACGACTTTTGGAGGAATGCCTATGAATGATGGGTGAGGTTTACTAAAATCAGACCCTCCTGAAGCAAGGTAGGATGAACCCTGCCCTAGGACAGCAAATCCTAGACTGTTTCTTGAGGCAGGCAGCCTTGGGAACCTGCTCATTCTTTGGGTTTGGCTCTTTCCCTCCAATTTCATGTGACAGGTAGCCAGGACATGGAGCCCCAACCCAAAATCCAGGTCTAATCCAGGGTTTCTGTGTGGTACACACATGGGGCAGGAGCACAGGAAGGGGGTGAGACATACACAGAGTCAAGGCCTGCACCTGCTGCTTATTAGCAGGTGTCACTCCAAGTAGGTCATTCCTCCTTTCGCTCCCACTCCTGCCCCTGTGAAAGGCCCAGCCACACCCACTCACCCCACTGCTTTCTGGGAGGAACAAAGAGGTCCCCCAGGAGAAGCCTCTGCAAAGCCACACGAGTCTCTGACAAAGTGAAAAGCTTCTTAGTATTCACCCAAAAAGAACACAAACATCTCTCTCAGAAAAAAGCCACATCGCTGCAAACACATTCAAATCTAAGTGTCATAACAACAAGGGAAACAAACAGTAACTTCACAGGATGATCCGGAACCAACTCCTTATCACGAAAATTGGCAAACAACAGGCCAGCATGGACCCGCCTTTAACGAAGCAATCAGTATCTGAAGAGCAGAGATGGCAGCAGATATAAATCCTCAACAGGGCCCAAAGACCTAAATGCAAGAGTTAAAACTAGCGGACTTTCAGAACTAAACACAGGCACACCATGATGCTTCCTGACTTTGGACTAGGCAGTGAGCTCTACACATCACACCAAAAACACAAGCAAGAGAAGAAAACCAAAATGTCAAACTCTTATTCGTCAAAGGACACCAGGACAACATACAAAGTACAAAGACAGCTCAGAATGAGAAATATTTTTTTTTTGCAAACGCTGTAACTCACAAAAGTTCCTTATCCAATATATATTAAGACCTACTGCAACTCAGTAATAAAAAGACAAAAACCCAACCAGCATATGGGCAAAGGATATGTACAATTCTCTGTAGATACACAAATGGTCAATAAGCAGGTGAAAAGACGCTCAAGGTCACTAGGGAAATGCAAATCAAAACCACAATCTGATGCCACTCCACCCTCACTTCCATGGCTAGAATAAAAAAGTAACAGATGTCAGAGAAACTATAACCTTCCACCCACTGCTGATGGGAGTGGAAAACTGTGCAACCACTGTGGAAACAATAAAGAATTACCATAAGTCCCAGCAAGCCCACTGCTGGGTATATAAACATGAGAATCAAAACA